CCCTGAGTTCAAATCCCAGTACTGGGAGGGAGAGGAATAAAGAAGAATGATGGAGGGGGTGAATTCAAGCATGATATATTTGATATATTGTAAGAACTTTTGTAAATGCCGCAATGTAACCCAGCACAATAAAAAAGAAAAATTTTTTAAAAAAGCAAATGTTAGCTGGGGAGGAACGGGATGTGTAGGAAGAGGGGGGATGTGATTGGCGAGAAGGCACCTTGGGTGTTCTAGGTATTAGTAATATAATATTCTATTTCTACAACTGAGGAGTCAGGCATGGGTGTTCATTCCCCACCCCCCTCCTTCCTTTCTTCTTTCCTAGACAGCGTCTCGTTGTGTAGCCCAGGCTTGCCTTGAACTGTGATCCTCCTTCCTCCCCATCCTGAGTGCATTTTAGTCTTTACATTGTACAATATACTGAATATGTTTTTACTATATATAGGCTACTTCATGGGAAGAAAGCATGCCGAGATGTTTTTTGAATGTTAGGAAGAACCGATTATAGGCCAACAGGAAAAGAATTTACGTGCATTTACAATGTGATTTTCTAGGGTCTAATCCATTGTACCCATTTATCAGGAGTGATAAGCTAGGATGTAGCCAAGCTTAGAAAACGAAGTTCACACAAAGGGACTGGATAATAACCATGATCTCATATGAGATGCTGTGAAAAGCCACATAATATCAAGGCCACTCCTTTCTGCCTCACAAATAAAAATCTCAAATCACTTAACTAGACAGAGAAGCCCTGAAGGCTAGACTCTATGCCAATATGCCATATCCCATGCCATAGCTGATTAGCAATACATATAAAGCTGACAAGGACCTCTAAAATAGACTTGAAAAATAGAAATCTTCTGCTACATATGTTTACTTTGCTTCAGAAGAAGTGACACCTGCTTCAAGTTGCTGTTTGTGAATTTAATTCTTTTGCAAAGTAGTATAAGTACTCACCTGTGTTTGACCATTTTTTGATCGTGGCAAAAATGACTGAGGAATCTTGCGTAGAACAAGTGCATGACGGCATGTTCTTTCCCTCCAATGTATAAATCCACAGGCATCCAGTAATCTGCCAGGGCTGGGTTGAAAGGACTAGAAGAGAGAGGAATGGGCATTTTAAAAACGTACTCCACCACGACTACATAAATTAGGTAGACCTATTGTAATTTGCATATGCCCTGCATGAATTATGTCAGGGAAATACAGTGATTTTCTTTTAAGAATACAGTTAAAGAAAAGCTTATGTAATGAAGGAGATAAAAGTCAGATTAGTGTTAACTTAAGAAATTTATAAGAACGGCTACAGAGACATTACTGATATATTTTAATAAATGCATTTTTTTCATATAAAATGAGAACAAGAGAAAAACATAACAGCACAAAAAGGTATCTCGGCATAATGAGTATTTGAGTACCTAGGGTTGTTTTTACGGGACTGAGATTTTTCAGATCTTAACAATAGGGGGCGTTGTGGCACTTACAATGGAGACTAATATGCAAATACCAAATGTTTCATTTTGAAAGCAGAAATTCAGTTTTATTTTTAAAAGTCACTTTAAAAGAGTCAGCAAGAGCCTGGATGTGGCTTACTGAAGCAATGAAGTATATTTGGGGTATAACTGTCATAAACAAGCCCAGCAAGCTCTACTATGGACTTCTTTGCCAGCAAGATGCTGAAGGACAGGCCTCCTACGACGCCTTGGTACTAAGGGAGGAAAGGAACCTTCCCTTCCTCTGTTTTCTGGCTGCGGCCCTTGGGAAAAGGGACAGTGCTGACTGGGATAGACCTCTGCATTCCCAGCTAACACCCTCACTTCAGGTCAATCACAGATCTCTCTCCTCGAAGGATTTGTGCTCTATGGTTTCAAATACTGGCAAATTCTCTCTCCCCCACCTCCAGGCACTTTCCCCAGCATGGACTGGGCTGGCCCTAGCTATGAGGCTGGAAGCAGGAGCTTGTCACTCAGCCAACCATCACACGTGTGCATTTTAGCTTGGTTTCTCTCCTCTGGTTACTATGCCAGCATTCTGGTAAAATTAAAACAAAACAAAACAAAACAAAAAACCTAACAAATGGCTCCCTAAAGAAATTGAACTGCAGATCCAGAAAGAGAAGTGAAGGATGGTATTTAGTTGGGAAACAAGTTTGAGATAAATTAAGAAATGAAATGTTCAGAGTAGCTGGGATTTATGATCTACCCAAGAAACCATCCTAGAGAGAACAACAGCGCTAGGAAGAAAATGAAGAGACCAGGGTTATTCATACATGGGGACTGGGAAGGCATCAGCTACACCTGGCACCAGGCAAGGGTCCCTTGCTGGGCTTTCAGGTCTGCATTGAAGGCTTTGTTTTGAAGCCCTGCGGGGGAAGGAGCCTGCCTTCCTGCATCTAAGCCAGCTGTTACTGAATGGGAGGCACAGTGGCCCCTCTCTACAAGGTGGCCCAGGAGAGGGCCACTCAGGTGGTTCCCAGTCACAGTAATCACTTGGCATCCTTTCTGCCTCTGTGGGAGATCTTTCACTGAGGATCCCACTCATTTCTGGAATGAACTCAAATGATGGAATTATAATACTGCAGGCAGGGAGGGCCAGCAGCAGCCATCTCATCAGAAATGCATTCTTGCACAACCAACGAAGAACAGGAGTGTTTTGTTTGCTTGTTCGTTTTTGAAATACAGCCTGGCTACATAGGGTCTGGAACTCACTATCCTCCTACCTCAGCTTCCCAAGCGCTGGCATTACAGGCATGCATCACTGCATCTACTTTTCACTTGTTAGCTATTTCTCCTGATAATTATTTAAAACGGTTTATAGTTTTTATTGTTTTACCATTTTAGGAATTTTATCTATTCACTGTATGTGGTAGAGGCAATGCTTCTTAGCTCTCTAAAGCTCCTCATCTTCTCTCCTTCCTGTAGAGTAACACCATGATTTTCAGTGAAGTACGTTAACACTACATTCTTACAGGAAATAAACTGCAGTGCCCTGCAAGGAGGGTGTGACAGTAGCATTTCCTTCCTTTTTCTGTTTTGTTTGTTTGTTTTATAGTTAGAATTTACTTGGTGGTGATTAATCTACGTTAATGATTTGATATGCTCACTTTAAGGAGCCTGCTTTGCTTTGTTTTATTTTGCCTTCAGTGCTGGGATCAAAGCCAGGGCTCTCACATGCTAGGTAAGCACTCCACCAATGATCTTCCCATCCCACCCAAGATATCCTGGTGTTCTTTTTTCTCCCTAGTACTGGGGTTTCAACACAGGACCTTATGCTTGCTAGGCAAGCTCTCTGCCACTTAAGTCATGCCCCCAGCACTTTTTCTTTTAGTTCACCTTTAAGATAGGGTCTCACACTCTTGTCCAGGACTGGCCTTGAACCAAGATCCTCCTACCTATGTCCCCATGTAGCTGAGATTACAGAAGTGCGACACTACATCTGGCTTTTTTGTTGAGAGAGGTCTCACTTTTTTGCCTGGGCCAGAAGAGGTTCTGTTTTGAGGCCGCAGTTGACCAACAAGGTCAGCTGCTGTGTCTTTGGGTCCACTGTGGTGTTCCTGCCAGCCCATGCTCTCTTAGCACTCCCAGGAGGCAAGAGGGAGGGCACAAGAGCAGAGTCATTTCTGCCTGCCTTGGGGTTCTGACATGGACATGTTTGCTTGGGACTTCCCACTGGCTCAGCTGAGGCCCTGGGAGCTGGCTGTGGTCTTAGGCTCCTTCA